CATCTGTTGTCTTACCGAGGTTCTACCTTTCATCTTCAGAGTCACCTTACCAAACAGAAAAAGAATAGAGGTGCAGACATTTTTGTGGCAGTGCTACCTCAATTACGTTACGGTCCTATTACTACCATTGCAACCCTGTTGTAGCACAATGTATTGAGGTAGGTCAATAAATGTCTAACGCTAAAGTACGTCGTAGATCATGATACTATATATAGCACATCGTCGGAGTTAATTTGAATCTAGTGTTTCAGTAGAAAATAATATACGAACTTCGATAATTAAGCGCAAATGCAAATTTTGTAAACTTTGCGAATGTTCTTTGTTACAAAAGAAGCAAGATAAGGTATATAGTTCAAATCATAACATAAATATAAATCAATAAGACATGAACCAGAGTACATGTGAATACTTTGTATAATTGCCAGAAGACTAAAAATTAGAAAGACCGATTTTATATAGTGCAATTACTTAAAATGAATTAATATCTTTAAGCTTACTGAAAATGCCTAAGGGTAGGGATAAACTGAGTTTATTATTTTTGGAATTAAATATTGTGTTGTGCCCTTCATAACAATTAAGGAACCATTTTAGTTACGATATTACTGATATTACCCATCGATTTATTTAAATATAAAAGTTTTTGATGCGCAAAAACTAATGTAAATTATTAAACAGATCCAAATTATTTAATTTTGTTTTGATAAATCTTTGAATTGATCTTTATAGCGGTTCCGAATGTTATCAAAAGTTGAACTAAAACATATTTACCCACCCATATTTGATGATATAAAAATATAACCTTCCATAAATTCTTCGGCAAAACATTGACATTGAATAATCCAAATTTACAAATGCGATTGAGATGTATGTTATTGCTCGCGAAGCGGGCAATACCTGATTTATTCCTTCCATACTATATATTTTTTAATTAAAAGTAGTGTATTTCGTAATGTTTAGTTTATTGATCGCGAGGTTTCCGACGATTTTTTGAATTTCCGGATCAGTCCGAACTCAAGATCTATCGTTATTCATTATCGTTATATACTATACTATAAACGATAAAAATATATATACTAATAGAATTAAATATGCAGATATGCAGCATTTAAACACATTTTAAAATTATTCATTACTTATATTACTACCTATTGTTATATCACGACCTACGACATTATTTACTACTTACTACTTTTATTACAACCCACTACTTATATTACGAATTACATCAATACTACAAAAGTTGCAACTTTAGTAGTGAAAGTTACAACTCCGTTACCTCAAAATGTCTGCACCTCTACATAATTCTAATGAGTTCGATGAATACCTCCAGTGAGTGTCTTGTGATATTACTTAAAGCACCTCTCTCTAAAAGTTATGTTAAGGTGGGCTAAATACTTGTAAGAGTTTAAAAACATAGATACTTCCGATTTGGCTACTACCAATTATTTATATAATTTCCCAATCATAAATATCCATAAATACTTTCATGTCACCGGTATCTAGCTTGTCTTGTCGAGATATTTTAAAGTTTTTATTCTGATCTGCTTTTTTATAACCTTTTTTTTTTCTGTTTTCATATTATTAATTTCTAGAGATACTGAGCAAGAATTGATAAGTAATGATACTTCTTTACCAAACGGGTTACGGAGATTACGAGAGGATAGGTCACCAAATAAAGATGCTAACAACGCAAAAATGGTTAATCATCTTGAAATTGCCCGGTTTTCAACGGAATCGTTACATAGTTATAATTTTGTCTCAAGCGATGTTTCAATGTACGAAAATAGGCAAAATATTCTTCGTCGCTCCATTGATTTCATGAAAAGCAAAATAAAAGGATGGAAATTCTTAGATGTGCATCAAGTTCTACTTTCACTTGTGGAACCTGCAACTGGCACATCTACAGATATTGTTCTTCCTCAAGAGGAAACTGGCACTGATGATTTACGTTCGCCTCGAAGGCCTAGAGGAACATTAGGTTCATTTTCAGATATCCCGGCATTATATCAACCCATAAATACACCATCTACTTTACATTCCCCTACAAGGTTCACACCACAAAATCAAGCTATTATTACCACAGATAATCATGGAAATATATTAAATGCCAATGACATTGCTTGCTTGATATTCAGTTATTCACGAACTGAGATATCAACCATAAAGGCATTTGACCTGATTGCCAGTCCTTATAGGGAAAAGCAAGAAAAATCTCTTGCTTTAAGACCTCAAAATAATCATGATAATGGCGAAGCTGTGTTAGCTTGCGGTAAAGTTGTATGTATTATTTTAACATATTAAACATTTAATTTAGATAGTTTTAATAAATAAATCAATAATTTATTATTTACCTATAGATTCCAATACAGAGAAAGAATGAAGAAACTTCTGCTGCTTCATTATGGCTTAAAGCCAAAAAGGATGATGGAGGAAACTCCATTTTCATTTGGATATTTGAAGAGATTGTTGAATCCATGATGATTGTTGAAATAGATGATAAGGTACCATAATTCATAAATTTCTTTAAAATTCTCATACAATATTTTTTAATCATTATTTCCAATAAAATAATAAATTAGGGTATAATACACAATTCATCTGGTGACGTAAAAGCCTTATATGGTTACTCACCTGAAGAAATTATTGGAATGTGCGTGACTACATTAATCCCCGCATTGGAAGTTATCCCTTCAGATGAGAATAATAATGATATGGATATTGACAATGAATCATCCAATAAACGATTAGATATTGAACAAATAAATAATACAAAGTATTATGGAAGTCGATCAAAAAATTGTGCAAAGTTTCCAATCATCGGAAAAATATCGATGCAATCAGTTCAGGAAGGAATGCTAGACCAAAGATCCATCATATACAGACTTAAAATCATATCTATGCCTACTATTGCTGGTGTTATAACTGCACATGCAACCGGTATCATTCAATCATGTAATTCGGTCTTTGTCAAATACTTATTTGGTGTGGGATCTCAAGAGTTGGTCGGAAAACGCTATATTGAGTCACTTTTACCTCAATTTCCTCGCCTTATTGGTGTCCTTGCATCAGAACGATCTCTTGTTGAAGGGGTTTTAATTTCAGAAAATGCTTTTAGACGTGCGGCTACATCTATTTCTTCATCAACAGATAAGATTATCTATTCTCATACGAAGGACTTCTCTTCTACCACTTCTGTCCAGGGACCTTCTGGTATAATAGCTGTACACAGGGATGGTACTGAATTTGACGTAGATATTCAAATGCGTGTTGTTGAATCACCTGATGAGCCATTGCATGCATTGTGGATTACTTACGATCGTAGTGTCAATTTTGCAAAAGAGCAAACTTATTTGGATCATGTTGAAAATCATGGTGAAAGGCTTGAAACTAGTAGGAGTTTAGAAGACGAAAAAATACAAGAGGAAAAGGAAAACTTCCATATATCTAAATTCATAGCAGCGGGTGGCAGACCTCCTTTATCTACACATCTTTCATCTGATCGGCAAATAATTACACCTCCCGTGATGTCTCCTGCACCCGAACCTTTCGATCCAATGTCATATTCAGCAATAACATTAGAAAAGACAATTAATGATTTTGAAATACTAGATAACTTGGGCCAGGGTGCTTATGGCCAAGTCAAGTTAGCTTATAATAAAAATGATATTGAAAAGGTATCAATTGTTTATTTATGATCATAATGCATTCGTGTTACATATATGTGACTAACTAAATTTTTTATTTCAGAAAAGAGTAGTGCTCAAGTATGTCGTGAAGTCACGAATACTTGTGGACTGTTGGACTCGTGATAAAGTGCTTGGTACTATCCCATTAGAGATTCATATCCTTCATACATTAAGACGATTTCCACATCCAAATATTGTACAAATGGGTAAGGATTAATTTGTGTAGTTTAATTTTTCATTAATATTGAAATATTTACTGATGCGCATATTTCTTAATATACTTTTACATGCATTTTTTTTTATGTACTTTTTATGTAGTGGACTTTTTTGAAGATGATGACTACTATTATATAGAAATGGGTTTGCACGGTGCTGGTATGGATCTCTTTGATTACATAGAATTGAACACCACAATGGCTGAAGATGAGATAAAACTTATTTTCCGTCAAGTTGCACGTGCTATCCAGCATTTACATCATAGAAATATTGTCCATCGTGATATTAAAGACGAGAATGTGATACTCGATGAAGATGGAATTGTTCAACTGATTGATTTTGGATCTAGTGCATATATAAAAACAGGTAAAAAGTATGATACGTTTTGTGGAACTATTGACTATGCTGCGCCTGAGGTAGGCTTATTTGAAATTTAGTCGGTTTGTATTTAAAATTTGATGTATTTAATTTATCTTTGCATAGGTCTTGACTGGAAAAAAATATGATGGTCCACCACAAGACATTTGGGCTTTGGGTATTTTGTTATATACACTCATTTATAAGGAGAACCCTTTCTATAACATTGATGAGATCATTGCTAGAGATCTTAGAATTCCTTATATATTATCCGATGGTTCAATTGATCTGGTTAAGAAAATGCTTGACCGTGATGTAGATAAACGTCCATCGATAGATGATGTCCTAAATCATCAGTGGTTATGGGAGGAATGATTTTTTTTTTAAAGTTGAATTATTATTATTAACGTTAGTGTGAGAATTTATTATAGACTCTTAGAAAAGATTGTATAGTATTAGAATTTGGTTTATTATTTGATTTTTATTATATTAGTTTAAGTAAATCCACATGTACACACTTAAAAGTCTTCGCTTTATGAGTATAGACTTCAACATTTATGTAAAAGAAAAAGGAATTATGTAAAATACCAAGAAGCAACTGGTTAATTTGCATTTCATTTTATTAATCGATTTTTTTTAAACCAAAAGTTGTCTTATACATGGTATAAAAAAATAAAATAAAATAAAGCCTTGTCATGAATAATGAAACATGTTGCTAATTAAGAACAATCTTCTATGAAATTAACGAGTATCAGTTTTAACCCAATCATTCAACATAATCCCACGTTGAGATTCGGCAAAACGCTTTAGTTGATCAGATAAATACTCTTTTCTTTCGTTCTCCCATCTCTGTTTGTCTATTGCAGCCCTTTCTTCCCATGGCTTTCTTTCGTCAACATCCATTGCCTTCCACTTATCATCGATACACTTATTAAGATGAGACTCAGTAATTAATGAAGGATATTTATTCATACAGTCAGCCTTAACTTCACTAAGAAAAAGTTCGTAGGCGGACATGTATAACGCTGGAACTTTAAGACCATATCGACGTTCATCGGGTTTATAAATCTTTTGTGGTACGTTAATAGTTTCGTCATAAGGGTTATGTATTTGATTGAGATTACGTGGTTGCAATGGTGATCGATGATGATTATTTCCATAACATTCTAACGGAATATTCTCTTTGTCGCTAGATTGAACCCAAAATTGTGTCTCAGTAGGAATGTCACGGAAGCTAGATGGCGTTTGTGAACGACGTTCTTGTTTAAAGATGTTTTCTTGTTTAAAAACGTTTTCTTGTTTAAAAACGTTTTCTTGTTTAAAACCGTTTTTTTGTTTAAAAACATTTTCTTGTTCAAAAACATTTTCTTGCTTAAAAACATTTTCTTGTTTGAAAATGTTTTCTTGTTTTGAACTAGGAAAGCTAAATTTGTGATCGAACCGGCCCATATTTAATAATATTGGATCGACCTCCAGAACCGCACTTTTATCAGGTTGTTGAAAATTAAATACGCTCTCAAGACTCAACAACTGATCATCATTGTATGATTGATAACTATCAAATTGTATTTGCGATTGGGCCTGATCTGCAATATATGCCAACTTCTCATTTTCAAACCTAATTTCATCTTGTTGAGCTAAATGTCCCCATGGCGCGCGTTCTTCGACGGTCATTGACTCCCAACGTTCACGAATTAACTTTGTGATAGTACCATAATTGTAATATGGATTTTCTGTGGTAATTCGAGGTCGCATATACTCAGAAAAATGAAGGAACGCAGGTGCGGGTGGTCTAGGCCATGAAGGTATAGGTGCAAGTACTGGGCGACTTTGAACTAATGTGTCTTGCGATGATTTAATAGGACCTTGTTCATTATCAACCTCTGAATAAATGAAATCAGGAAAACTTATAATTGATTCTTCTGATGTTTCTTCGCCATCCGATGATTCAACTAATTCATTTATATCTTCCGAATTATAATCACTGTCATCTTCAGAATTTCCTTGGTCGGCATCAGCGATAAGAGTTTTTGAGTAAATTTCACGATTCTCATCTGCCTTCTTAATCCAAGGCGCACGTTGATAAATATCCATCTGGTTCCATTGAAAAACTAATGTCTCTCTGATATTTTCGAGAGGCATTCCCGGGTACAAACGTAACATTCTTTCCGTACCTTCCACCACGAAAAGTTCGAATGCGTTGACGTGAAAATCGTTGAAAATTTCAGTTAATGAGCTAGTAAATGATTCTGTCATTTCGGATTCTTGAGAATATTCTTCATTGTCTGAATCCTCAAATCCGCTGTGAGATAGTTCTGTACCATTAATATTATTATTGTCCTCATTATCATTATTATCCTGTTGTATACCGAATGTTGATTCCCCGGTTGGAAGCTCATCTAAATATGGATTTGGCCGATACTCTTTCAATCTTAAGGCCAATTCTCTAACGCGTTCAAGATGCAAATTTCTTTCTCTCTGCGTAATTACCAGATTATAGATCAAATGAATCTACAATTAGATAACCGATTATATAAAAATATATCCTCTATAAAATACTCTAGTAAAATATGTCCAAAGTTACACAAATACGGACTTATAGCGTGGCAAAACTCGTACAACGTATAAATACATGATATTATGTTGGCTTATTTTTTAAGTTTCATTAACTAACCTCATTAAGACATTTCCAATTTAATTCTTTGGCGCGTTCTGAATATTGATTTTTCTGCACCTTGACAAAAAATAATAATTAAAATAAAAAAAAATAAAAAAGTACTTCTTCAAAACGCAAAGAAATATTTACTTCGGTTAAAGCATTCCAATTGTTCGCTATATTTTTGGCAATTTCTGTAGCCGACATTTGAGGATTTTGACTTAGAAGCGATAGCCTTTGTTCATCATTATGAAGTAAATAACCGTACACTGGTTTTTCAATAGTTTCATCATAACTATAAAATGTATGGGATTCCATCTAAGATTATGTAAAATACAAAATTTATGAAAAAAAGTAAAGTCGATAACGGGAAAAGACAATTATGAAAAGATGGTGCTTATATAATTTTTAAATTATCATAACGCGTCAACAAAATCATGAAATCGGCAATATATTAAAAAATCCTTTTATTGAGAAATAGTAATAATGAACTGATTTCTACGCGTTCAATCCATGTCAGGTGATTTAAAATTTTCACGTTTTAGGGACCCATGGATACATAATCACTAGTTTAATCAGTAAAAAATTCATTTTTTGGTAGGGCGGTCCCGTGACCTACAAGCCATTCGGACTATAATTTTACAGACTATATTTGGATCTAAAAAGTCTTCGAATATGTTTATTCAATACTAACTCAATACTTTATAATATTAATTTTTTAGTTAATGTTACTAAAATTTGAATAATAAAAATATCAAACTATTTACTGTAAACAAAAAGCAAGCTTTAATTTACAAAAAGGTTTTCAAGTTTTTTGTTAAGTTTGAGCTTGTAAAGCTTTCTAATAGACCAAAGTTTCAATTATTAGAGATTGTTTTAGTTTTTGATATGCATTATATATATATATTTTTTTTTTATTATTAAGGTCAATGTTAATGGCAACTAATGCCTTTATTTGTGTTTTTAGTTAATACATTATATATTACAAGATGAGTATACAACTAGCCATATGTGTAACTTTTGGTTACCTATTTAAGTAGTCTATTCAAGGGTTTTACACTAGCTGTCATACCTATAATCTACTAGGAGACTATCTAATTAAACATTCTGGTTCTTATACTGCATCTAGACAATTAGCTATCCTGATTTTTGTACATCTAAATATTATTTAACCTAATATTTTGTATCTTTTCTGTATATTTGTCAAGTTATTATTTAATTTTAGAGCATGTTATCTGATTATAAGGTTCAAGAAGTTTTCTTGTTAACTATTTACCTATTTTATAGAACATTAACAGAGTTTGCTCTTGAGAGTTTATTCAGATCTTAGCATTTACTTCATAGCATATTTTTAATATTTTTAGTATACTCTTGTTTTTTCTCTAAACTTTTAATCCAGATATTTTAATATATCAAATCAGTCTGATATACTTTTCTTCCAGTCTTTTCAGTTAGAATTCTAACAGCTTAGTTAGTGATATCTTTTACTTAAAGATTTTTGTCTATTTATATACTCTACATTGATATTTGTTTTCTAAATTTAGTCTTTACAATAGTACTATTAAAGATCTGTGTTATCTTTTTACTTAGTCTTTCCAAATAGGTTTTTTGTTTCTTAATTTTTATAGATTTATATAACTACAAAAACTTATTTTGGGTTTGTATTACACAATGTTGATTTGCATTTCTCTGTGTAACTAATTACACAGATGCTTTATGATTTACCAATTATGTTGATATGACTATAATTACAGATATTTTAATACAATTATTAGGAACAGTTACTATAATACAAATATTACATAGATGATTTTTTAAATTTTAACTGTCTATAGGTTTTGAACTCACAATCTACTACTTAGAAGGTTGACAACTTATTTACTTTACTAAGTTATCATATTCTTTTGATATGCATTATAAAATAAATCATTTTCAATATTATTTGAAATAATAAATAATAAAGATTCAAACATTTTTTTATTTTTATTGTTTTGTTTTTTTGAATTCAATTAATTTAATTTAGTTATAAGTAAATAATTTAATACTAATATTTTTCTTTATTATATAGGAATGAGTTAATTGAAAAAAAGACAAATTTTTTTAAGTAAAAGTTTCCTTGACTTTAAGCTTAAATATCTTATCAACTATTTTATTAAATTTGATAAATTTTTTTTATTTTAATTTTATATAATTTCAAAATTAAAATAAAAAAATTTTTAACAAATTTGATTAAATAGTTGTTAAATTATTTAAATTAAAAATTAAAAAAATTTTACTAAAAATAATTTGTTCTTTTTATTTTTTATTATTTTTTTTTTGTATTAAGGTAAGGTTTTGTCTTTATCTTTATTATTAATTTGTTATTGGCAATTATATAAGTTGACACAGACCAGAGCCAATTTACAAATTTTTTACAAAAATGAGACTCAGACTATAAACAAAATTATTGTCTAATTTTATCTAATTTATCTGCAACCTAAACCTACTAGAGTGGTTAAACTTATCTAGATTTAATATTGTAAGATGTTATTAATAGAGGTATTATAGTTTATCTATTCAGATATCTATTTAAATAGTTTTTTGTTTGTTTTTCCTTGTAGTAGACAAATATAAGTGTTATAGAAATCACCTATATGCTGTTGGTCTGAAAGTCTACAAGTACAATTGTAGGTATATAATAGTTAGATTTGTAATAATAATCTGATTAAAGTGTTGAAGTTAGTTAGTCAATTACATGATAATTGGTTAGAGATATTATTTTGTTATTTCTATTTTGATAGTTTGATACAATATGGTTTCCAGATTTGATTATATATGTTTTGAAATAGTTGGATTAAAAATTTTATTGTAGTATCAATTGCTAACTGGTTATTAGTAGTGTATTCTTATATAGTATTGATTAATATGATTGGAATAAAGCTTTGTATAGTTGTATATATATTTGTATAATTTCTAATAAGGTTGTTTAGAAAAATACATAAGTGATTAATAAGTTTGTCATGTAGTTCTTATAATTGTATAGTTGATATATCTAGTCGTAAGTTGTTAAAAAATTATTAAATTATGTTAATAATAATAAAGTTCAGTATATATAAGTTTGAACATATTAGCTAGTATAACTAACTGTCATATGTATTGCATGAAATGCAGAATTTATCTGAATATATTATTGGATAAAGAAAGTAAAAGTGAGATAGTATAAATAGTATTTCTAATATAAGTTTAATTTTAAAGGTTTTTTTATAACATAGGCTGAAGCTAGTATAAGATGTAGATCTTTTGTAATTGTTATTAAAAAAGAGCCAAGTGGCTTCCTAATTAATTAATAAGAATAAAGATAAAATGGTGTTAAGAGAACCATATTGCTATATTATAAGCATTGCTAATATTTTTAATTGTTCTATGTGCAGGTTACTTTATAGGATATTTGTTATAATAGAAATAGTATAATAGATTGTATATATTATTGTGAAGAATAATAAGTATATATGATTGGTTTGGGTTTTTGGCTAGTTTGTCAGCTATGTTGTTAAATATGTTGTTGCTATGTACAGTTACTTTTTGTAGATTTACTTAAATTTAATATGCAGTAATAAAATTAAGTAATGTGTACCATATTGGCCAATAGTTATAAGAATATTGTCTGTTAAGTGTAGATGATGATTGTATAAGTTTGTTATATTTGTAAATAATAGATTGTGAGTCTGTATATATTGTTATAGTGCTTATTTTTGGGCAAGTGGTAATTGCAGAGAGAATTGCTATAAGCTCTGCCTTATATGATAAGGGCCAAAATTTAATTATTACAGAATATTAATGCAAAATAGTTTTATCTTGGATTTGAATCCATTTGATACTTATTTTGCATTTGTTATTTGTAATGTTGTTTATAGACCATCTGTATAAAATGTGAATTGTAAATGCAATGAATTGTTTTATACAATTTGTTGTAAAATTTGTGCAGCCTGATTTTGTATAAAGATGTCAAGTACAGCATTGTTATATATTATGATATTAAGTTGTGAAGATATTATAATTAGGTTTCAGAGTGCAATAGAGTATAGTAGGTCTAGTAAATTCACATGAAGGTCTAAGGTATTAGAAGAGTTGGAGTTTATATTCCTTTCAAAGAACTTAGTTGTAAGATTAGTAGAAATATTAAATATGCATTTATTTTGTATATAATTAGAGTTAAAGTGATATTCTGTACATTGTTTGCAAGAATAATTAACTGAAGAGTATAGTTAGTATGTAATGTGTCAAAGTCAATTAACTAGTATATTATAAATATTGTATCTTTTATTTGGTTATATTTCTGTGTCTTGCCAATAGCAATGTTATTGTTATTATAATTATATGCAATTATTCAAGATTTAGATGCATGTTTGTAGTATTTAGTAATAAATAATATGGAATTGGTATCAGGCAATTGCAACTGAGGGTTTATTAGTCTTAATTGGTAATTAGTAATAATTGTATTTTCAAGTGTAATAAACTATAATGGTTTACAACCTTTAGGTATATGTTGTAATTATGAAGATATATGCTTTTAATTAAGTAATACAGAGTTGTTATCTAATGTTAGTTGCTCAAGATATATTATTTCTTTAGTATATAGTTGCTTTTTGAATTGTGTATAGAGTTTATAAGTATAAAAAAATTGTTTAATAGGTGTATATGAGTATTGAAGTATGTAGGGTCTAAGAATATTGAAATTGGCTTGTAGAGTTATTTGAAGTTTGTTAAATAGTTGTATGATTTTGTAGATAGTTGTGCTTTTATTAGGTCCATTTATATGTGGATAGAAATGTTGTAAAATATTAGTTGTAGACCACAAGTTGTTTTGCAACTGTTGGAGTTGAATGTAAGTACTAATGTCTATTAGATTTGGGTCATTAATACAGAGATAAAATTTGAATATATGATGTTGTACTTGTATTTCTCATATATTTTTAATACTATATATGTTATAATTTAGAAGTATACTATTTGGTATAGATACTAATAGTTTAGCTTTGTGTTTGGCTATAATAAGATATTGTGATAATATATAGTTACATATTGTATATAGTAATACTATATTGTATATACAATATTCTAAAGTAGAAATAATTATAGTGTTTATAATATATACAGCTTGTTTATCTGTAATATTTTTAGTTTTTAATATGTTTTAAGTCTGAAAGCTTCTTGTTGTATTAATTTTGTTTAAGTTGTATTTTGTAAAGCAGCTGTAAACCAGCATCTTAAAAATTTAAAAAGAATATTTTGTAGTTATGCTTGAATAGTTTGATTCATAAAGTTAATATAAGTAATAG